AAAAATGATCCTTATGCTTCAACATTGAATAACTCGGTGAAAAAAAATCGCAAAATGCTCAACGAGTGCGCAAATTAAAGATAAAGATTCACGCTTTCGAATGCTGTAAACCGCATTTAAGTGCGATTTTAAATTCACGTCGAGGAACCTTACAAAATTCGTAACAAATTTTGTCGCATATCTTCAATTGTATCCATAATGCTCCATAAAAAAATTAGTAAAATCGATATAAAAAGTAGAGTAGACTTTAACATGTAAAATGCTTATTAAAAAATTTTATTACGATTTGTCATCTTTGCAACGTTACACTCTCTTTTGGAGGATATAATAGGTGATACAGCAAAATTAGCTGTTGAATGCTCATTAAATTTTGAAAAAATTGAATAGTGAAGCTGAAAAATCGTCGATATTTGAATCGTGGTAACTTCGTGAAAAAAAATCGTGAAACAATTTTCCTAGGCTCGTTTTAAAGGGCTAAATCTTTCGATTTTCCTAAGTTGATATTTCTCAAAGATGCTTTTGCACTAAGAAATGAAGTTGAAATTTAAGAAGGATTTGAAGTTCGAAAATTTTGCAAAGTCTATCGAATCTTCGTCTGGTATAGAGACGGTGTGCGCTGTCATTATCGAACAACTTCTCGATGTACTAGCGTACATATCAGCAAGTAGTGCGTAAAACTCTCTATTTCAATTACGAAAACAATTCTTTAACATAAAATCTTATTAAAATTGTGACTGTTCAGTATCATACTGTCGAACAGGAAAGCGTAGCGCAAAAATTTTTGCTGACATGCCACGAAGATCGACAACAGAATTTCAAGCCGCGTAAATTGTTATTCTTCTCCAGGAAGGTAATAGTCAGCGGTACGTGGCGAGATTCTTAGGCAACAAATCAATCTATCGTATGTCGAATATGGAGTCAACATCAAGAAACACAAAGTTTCCATAGACGTAGAGGACAAGGTCACAGGCGAATAACATCGAGGGTAGAAGATAGAGCGATCGCGCGACATGTGAATGACCATTTTTACCCATATGTTGAATAACTCGATGAAACAAAATTGCACAATGTTGGTCGAGTGCTCAAATTAAAGCTAAAGATTCACACTTTCGAACGCTGTAAACCTCATTTGCGTGCGACTTTTAATTCACGCCATGAAACTTCGCAAACTTAGTAAAAAATTTTTAGATTTGATGCATCTCCATTTGCATCTGTGCAGCTTTGTAAAGAATCAGTAAGTCATTTAATGAATTATGGATTTCGAAAGTAGAGACTTTAAACTTTAAAATGCTTTTTTGATCATTCCGATACGATCATTTTTGACGAAGTTATACTCTCTTGAAATTTACCTATTTTTAGTGTTCGGAATGGGTGATGCTTTAATTTTGCTGTCGAGTGTATTTGCATTCATCTATTTATTATTATAATGGTATGTTTGGTAGAATAAATCTACATTGCTGTATCACGCGTGAAAACGTCAGTAACATTTATTGTTAACAAAATTCTTATAATTGACACAATGAAATAAAATGATATTCAAAGTGTGTGTGTGTGTGTGTTTTCACATACACATATGTGACGAAAAGAAGAGATTACGAGATTTATTGTGACATTGAGGACACTGGTACACAATTATGCAATATATAGCTTCTGCACTTCTTCTCATATAACGATTAGAATTATAATCGTCGAACAATAAAGAGACAATGTATGGCACTGCCGCGGTTACAGGTGGATATAACTTTTTAGCACATCGAGATATTGTTCCTATCTATCGTACAGTAAAATTGCGTTTAACTGTGTGTGTTTGCTAAATTACAATGCAATTCATTGCGATACAAAAAAAAAGGCAATTAACTTAATGGCTCTCCTGTCGCTCTAATCGATAGTATTACTTATATATTCCTATAATTGTGCGATGTTAAAAGAATGATAAGGAAAAGTGTAATTTTATTTCAACATCAATGTGAAGCGCTAAGTAATATATGTATAAATAATACATAAATAGACTTATACCAAAAGAAATGGTGTTTCTTCTCTATACGCTTGCGTTCGGCTTTCATATATCTTACAAATAGAAAACAAATATTTTCAATTCAATTGCTAATTAAGGAGCATCAGGGAAACATGAGAGAACAACGAAATCGAATAGCTTCGCCTAAAAAATATATTTAGAGAATTCTTCTAACGTCGAATGTATCTTTCTCCATTAAGGTACCTGCGTCGTTTTGTTAAACATTTACAAGTGGAGAAGGAACTATGTCGATGGCGCACGAATTTTTTTTTTATACCAAATTGGTTGGGGAAAAGAAAATCTCTCGACATCACGTTCTTATCGCTCTTAACGTCCATGGACAACTCGCTCTGCTCTCGACACTCAATAAAATCGTGGTATGGCTGATAGATCAAGAGAGCATTATATGTGATTTTAATGAATTTAATCTTAATAATCGAGTTTATTATTTATCCAGCAAAATAGAAACACTCATTATTTAATGTTTATTATTTATCCGTAAATCTTATCAGTAGATGTATCAATAAATTGATTATTAATTTGTACAACGTAGAATGCTGATACGTTAATTTTACAATAGATTTATGCTTTTTTTTTTTAAATTAAAATCCGATTCGACACGTCTTAAAAATCTAAAACGTTAAAAAATTAGTAAATTAATAAACGAATAGTTGTACAGCTCTTTTAATTGTATCTATCCGCTATTATTGCATTTTACCAAAATATATATTTTCTTCGGAAACAGATAAATCAGACATTCCTTCCGGGATCGTCCAGGGGGGTCAAAGCGACTAAGGAAGATAATAATTCGTGCTCCTCGACGAGAACGCTTTATTGATTTAAATCCTCGTCCTCATCCAGATCTTTGCCCAGACCGAGCAAATATTTCGGGACTACGGCTGCATCGTTCAGTCTTCTTCCGGCCGTTTCCCCAGTCGCCAACTTCCAGACTCGTTTGCCGATACCAAAGCCGAAGTGCTGTCGGCCGCCGCGTTTGTCCTCCATAAAATCGTTGTCCTCGTGAGATTGATACCCCTCCATGTTATCGGCCGGGAAGTAGTCCAAACTCAAGGGATGGTATCCATTGTTACGCTTTCCTATACCGAAACTGTAGTCCCGGAGACGCTTGCCGATACCGAATGAGAATTGCTGCCGTGTTCTCTACGCATAAGGTTCAATGCAATCAATACATAAAGTTATCGATTAATGTTAAAAATTATACTTTTAAATTAATAATAGTGTAGGGCAAGGAGCTAAGCTTGGATATTCATGCTAATAAATTGTGAATCAAGTGTATATAATTCTAAGCAAAAGTCTCCATCCTACCGTTATATTTCCAAGTATGGCAAGGTTTAGGAATTTAACGAAATTTCATGGATTAAATTGGTACACGACAAAGAATCCTCACCTTGTCTCGACAGTTGTAATGGAAATAATTTCATTGGACTAATGCGACAAATCTAAGGAACTTCGACGACTTGCATGACTATCATTTTTACAGACGAATGTGACACACGCTTTTAAGAATTGTAAAAGACCACTGGAGGAGGGCTTGATGCCAAGCTGAAACGATCGTTTGGTTGTAATTACCGCGTATGTAATTATTTTTTATTAATATAATTTATTAGCACGAATATCCAGCTTGACCCTATACTATTATTAATTTTAAATTTAAATTGTCGGAGCCTGTGAATCACTTTTATTTTTTACATTAAAAATTAATTTTGATCTGCACTTAAAATACAGCATTGGCCAGAAAGTATGAAACACCCTCAATTTATTGCATCTTCTTGGAAAAAATCGTAATAAAAATCAAAAGAGAAATAACAAAATATTAAAACTGTTATAGAGATATATATTATTTTTCAATAAAAAATTGTCTTTTAATTCATTTTTTTTTAGGTGGGAAACATTTACGTTAATTTAAGGGATGGCCAAGGCTGTATATCAAATTTTTTTATACTTTACAATTTTTACTTACACATTGCAATACTTTCGCATTGCAACGTGTAAGCATACAAGTAATGTAATAAAAATTCATGTTTTCCAATTACAAAACTTTATACGAATTTTTCGCATTATTCGAATATTCCCTGGATTGGTGACATTTCCGTGATTAAATTCGTTTTCTTATAATATTCATTTTTTTTATATATAATAAAGAGAAATTCGTTCATTTAAACAAAAGAAAAATTAGAAACGTTTCGTTTCATTTAAGACTCACTTTATCTTCGTTATTGTCAATTCATCGTTTCCCGTTTATACAATATTTTTACTTACACATTGCAACGTGTAAGCATACAAGTAAAGTAATAAAAATTCATGTTTCCTAATTACAAAACTCTACACGAATTTTTCGCATTATTCGGATATTCCCTGGATTGTTGACATTTCCGTGAAAAAATTCGTTTTCTTATAATATTCATTTTTTTATATATATAAAATAAAGACAAATTTGTTCATTTAAACAAAAGAAAAACTAGAAACGTTTCGTTTTATCTGAGAACTCACTTTATCATCGTTACTGTCAGCCCATCGTTTCCCGATGCCGAAGGTGTAAATGGGTAATCTCTTGTATTCGGCAATGTACGCCTTTTTCACAGGTTCCCCGTATTCCAAGTTGTTCAATAGCGGCTGCATTCGTGGAATATGTAAAGACGAGGAAGATGCTTCTTCGATTGCCGCTGCCGATCGCCCGACGGCGCTCAACAGGTAGAACATAATAATTCGCATAGTGATTAAACTCGTTCTTGACTTCATGATGCCTGGTTTAACCTGAAACCATGTAGATCACGCGGAATTGTAATCTATAATGGACTACCCCGGATGCGGGTACAGGGACAGGGATTTCATCCTATCATAATAATGCCACATAAACTTTCGCAGTAGTTGAAGAACGAGTTTTTAAATTTACTCGCGTGAATTTAAATTCAATCTTTTGTCAAAATTGCGAAAGTAAATTGGTTTTTAGTTTCTGTTTAATTATACATTTTGATTGTGTCCTGTAAAAGCTCCTCAATTTTCAGTAATATAAATCGGTATTCCCGACCGCGGTGGACCTGGACATTTTTTTCAATTAAGCGCCAAATAAGCCAATCCAGATAAGTTATGAAAAATTGTTTACAACAAACGTTTTTCACAACTTTACATAATTTTAAGTTATACAATCTTATTCCTCGGATTGTTTACCTTCAAAGTAAAAAAAAATTGTTCAATTACGTTTATTTTAGGCAAAGATACATTAATTTAAAGTTTCTTGGGATACACTGGAATATCAGTAAAAAAATTCCAATGTGAAAAATGCCGATAAGGCTGATAAAAACGGCTGAAAAGTCCGCAATATTCTGCATTCTTAAACGCAATATTACGTACAATCAGTAGCACAAGAGCTTTGTCAGCAATCTGAGAAAAAATATTGAATACGTTAGAAGTTAAAATTATATTTTAAACAAGATTGAGAACGGTACTTTTTAAAAATAACTCGCTATTGTTAAAGTAAAAAAATAACTAGTCACCGTTATTATAGTTAGTAATTCGTAACTGTTAGCGTTACAAAGTAATTAACGATTTGTTATTTTTTGCGTTCTTCTTTAATGCTAAAACAAAATCAAACTAAAAAATTTACTTTTGTAATATTTTTAAAATAAAATTAATAAAAGCCATAAAACTTTTTACCTTAAATTCGCAAAATCATTAAAATTTTAGAAGAAAGGTTTTAAATGCTCAAAATATAAATGAAATTTTTGGCTTCTATTAAATTTATAAATAAAGCCTTTATATTTTTTATATACCTTTTTTATATACTTTATTTTATTTACATTGTTTTACACTTTTCATTTTATGTTTAAAAATTTCAACACTATAAACAGCTCAGGAACGCTTCGTGATTTTATAATACAATTGGCGGTTAAGTTCTCTCCTTTAGTTTTTTATTGAATTTAACAATAGTTAAGTATCAAAATCAATAAACATTGAACACTCATTGAGCTGTTTCGTCTGTTGATCGCAGCCTATAACAACTATGAATATCGATTAAAGAAGACGTACGAAAATTATGTCATAAATAAATTTTTAAAATATATAAAGTAAATAAATATAAAATATATAAATAAAAATTAATACAAAGTAACGATAAAGGTAACTATTAAATTCGTCACTATTATCGAAAAAAAATGTAATTACGTTACTGTTATAGGTACAAGAAAAAAGTAACCAAAAAAGTGACTGTAACGATAACGGCGTTATAAGTAACGCGTTACTTTCAAACCCTGAAATTATATATAATCTAAAATACATTTACTAACAATTAGTATGACACTCAATCACTATTATTGTTGATTATAACTTAATTATCATTGGCCGGATTTTCGGCCAGAATTTTAAGTAAGGACCTCCCTAAATTTGCCAAATTGTGCTAATCTTACTAATGCGCTGAAATAACTGTTTCAAAGTAGCAAACATATTTATCTCGCTGAAGCTTCGTCTTCATAACTGACCAAATATTTTTAATTGCATTTATGTCCGGAGATTGGAAAGGCTAATCCATCCGTGACGATGTCATTTTCACGTTTGTCGAAATCTCGTGAAAACACATCTTGGACGACAAGCTATAATCAATATCAAGCTCTAATATAACAATAGTGAACGACGCCGTGTTAAGTAAATGCATTTTAGCGCATTATGTATTTTTGAAATATGACTTAAATTTTTAATATACAGGGTGTCCCGAAATTCGCGAATCAAAATATCATAGCAAGAAAATCTTCGAAAAAGTAAGTAAAATAGTTATTTGTAAATTTTTAAATTTAAGTAGTATAGTTTTTGAGATATAAGAGTTTAAATTTAGCCAATTATAGATTACGATTAAACGGAAACATGTCCGTGAACGCGTCGATAATGTTAGTGGTCACGCACTTCACGCGAGTACTAATCTATAATTGGCTAAATTTAAATTCTTATATCTCAAAAACTATTGCTTAAAATAAAAATTTACAAATAACTTTTTTACTTAATTTTTCGGAGACTTTCTTGCTATGATTGATTCGCGAATTTCGGGACACCCTGTATACTCGGTCCCCTTCAGAATATACTGCTCGATGCTCTTGTGCCATTGACTGCATGTAACATTTTTTATTATTAGGAGTGTGTATTAGTTTTAAAGGTTTTGCAAGATAATGGCACTAATATCGGTGTTGTCGAAGACATTCCAATCACAGCTATTGTTTCTTAATGCTTTAACATTACTTTATGATATTTAATCATTTACTAACAACAGACGCGGTAATCATCGTGTTTGTATCATCTTAAAAATGGAGTTTCGTAAACGGCATTTTCGTCCTTAGGTTGCATTATTAGTGAAGTAAACGCTATTAAAGCTGAAATGGGAAGTCTTACCGCACCCCGCTGATTCTCTCTTGTTCCGATCGATACAACATATATGCTCTAAAGAATACGCACTTTCATAATTTCGAAAAAATGCGAAAATTTGAAGACATTGTATCAATTCCGAAGAAAAATGTTCTTATCGTCGCGGTATCCATCTCTTGCCAGAAAAAGTTATAGAAAACGAAGGGAAATATTTTGATTACAGTCATTAAGGTATTCATATAATAAATTAATTTTTGAGAAAAAAATCTCTCAAAACTAATGCACACTAATATTTTAATTAACCCAAAAATTTTACAAATTCAAAGCGATTGTAAAATAACATTATTTCTTTGCAATGATGCGGTAGATATTTACTTGTACATGGAAAAAACAATTTTGTTGAAAGGTCTAAAAATTTTGCTGAATATAGATCTGAAAATAATTTTTGTTCAATAATCAAAATAATTTGTTGGAAAGTTAAAAATGATAGGCATTGCTATAAAACGTTTTGATATTCTAGCAATCATTTTAACTTTCTAGCAAAATTATTTTAACTATTGAACAAAAATTATTTTCTGATCTGGATCCAGCAAAATTGTTCTTTCCGTGTAACAATTCAAAGAGAATGTAAAATATAACAATATTTTTTTTGCAATCATGCGATAGACGTTTTACTTGTAAGTGCTCCTATTTTCAGGAATCTCTTGTATTTACTTCGGAATTTTACCAGAACGTAAAAGCGCGTTAATGCAACATACTCTGCGGACGATTTTATGGGTCCGTCAGACGCAGATGCACGCAAATGGAATTCTACCATGTAAAAATAAAATAAAGAGTTATTTACGACTGGCGTGGGATAAATGCCATTGCAGTATAGGAGAGTAGCTCCTCTACTCGTGGAGGTGTCGCGCCGATTTTACGACACGGATTCCAATAGTCGTAGCGTGTGTACCCTACTTCTTCACAAAGTATTCTCACACCGACACTGGTCCGAATCCTGCGTTAAATCTGGAGAATATCACGGCTGTTTTTATTTTTACGTTCCTCTCTCCGTGATGAATTACATTAAATGCGACAAATTTATGATAAAAAATGTTAATTTATTCATTTTTTATTTAGATTATATTTTATTTATTATTTGTTTAAAATATAATAGTAAATAAATGCCATATTCATATTTCATTTTCTGCTATTGGGACTTAGGTCAATGTGAGTCTTATAACTTTTATTTTGTCATTTTAAAAATATTTACTAACATATAAAATTAATAATGATTATGATTTATGAATAAAATAACATTAGTAAAATAGACGTATTGTTGATAACATTTTAATATTATTACTTTAATTGTTTTACACAATTTTAAGAATAAACTGTTTATTGATTGGAGAGTAGCGCCGGAACCTTCTTAAAATGACGATTCCGTTAGGGAAGAAACGGTATTCTTGAGGGGAACGAACGTTTCCGCAAGTCGATTCCACTCATTTACGATGCTAATGTTGTGATTACCAATGAAAAAATGTTAATGAAGATTTTATATCCATTTTGTAGCTTCTAAATATACATTATACATTAGAAAGAATATTTTTAATACAATTTAGGATTTCTTTCCGTTAGGTATACAATATCATTGTATCACGATATTATAGTATTACATTTTATCGCAACGCGTGAAGCAGAATAGCGATTGATTGAAAGACTTCGTTAAATTATGAACAAAAAAACCGCGCAAAATTTTATGTTAATAACAGGACTGTCGTGCGTGTTGCGGCTGTATCTGTTAAAATACGCGCTTCCGTCAATTTAAAAGCAAAATCAATGTTGCATTACGAGTGTATACAACGTCAACGTGTCAAACCGCGACCAATACAGTCCCGGACAAACATTTAACAGCGCACAATGATGTCAAAAAAGGGCGAGCGCGGTCTGGGCCGTGATTGAGCGTCGCGACATCGTTACGGCCGTCGACCGCCAGAACCCGAAATCCTCTACGGACGGGTTCGTTCAATATTTGATGGCGAAATCCGGATTACGGATCCTCCTTCGTCCCGCTTGGTCACGCTGCTTTTCGAGAGGCTTGAACGGATCAGGAGGGCGCGGCCGAGTGTAGATAAAAATTGCGAAGGTCCACATCGTGAAAGGTTCCCTTAGCCGGGGAAGGAAGTAACGCAAATCATTTCCGCGCGCATTTCGGACGTTACACGGAGAGAACGATTTTGTTGAAGGGTCTAAAAATTTTGCTAAAAACAGATCTGTAAATAATTTTTTGTTAAATCATCAAAATAATTTGTTGGAATGTTAAAACTGATAAGTATTGCTATACTCTCTAACTTTTCTGAAGTGACTTTTCACTCTTTTGTAGTGAATCTCACTCCAAAAGAGTGAAAATATTACCACTCAAGTGGCCG